TACCCGCTGAGCCAAGCGCCATGTGCCATGACAACCTCAACCACAACTTATCTGACTTCATGTTGGTTATCTCTTATGTTGGGGCGGAGTAGGTTCCCAGAGTTTGTGTCAAGAATGAGTGAGTGAACTGATTACATTATTTTAGTTATATCACAGCATGTCAGCTTGTGGGACTTAAGTTCGAAGTGATGCTGGTCTTAGACGTTTACCGCTTTGGTGAAACCAACTAAACTTTGGTCAAACCAAAGTCATTGCCAATCTGGGATTCGAATCCACGATCATAGCTATCTGGCGTGACTATAGGGACGCATCTATGCACAGCGAAATGCGGCGCCTTTGACGACTGGACAACACGTGTACCCTTGTTGTAAGATCCGACTAACACGTGGATCAGATGGACACAATGTCTGACCTGGCTGAGTCAGTGTTGTGAGGGACCGATGACGCGGATGTTGTATATACAATACACCGCGACTTTGCCTGACACCTACTAATGCTGATTACTGCCGAACAAAAACGACATTCACTCCCTCCTTACCGCTATCAGTCTGTTATCAATTTGTTAGCATTCTTGTTATCACCCCTTATTGTTTAACCTCCACACGTGGGGATTAACCCATGTGTATTAACCCATGTTATGTTGCAAGTTGTCAACCCGCTGAAGCCATTTGAACACTCTTAAACGTCGGCTCATTCAATGAACAAATTGCCAGGCTTTGAATTCTTGTTCTCTTAATGGATCAAGGACCGCCTCAGTGGTCTTGTGGTAGAGCGTCCACCCGGAGAGCGAAGGTCAGGAGTTCGATCCCCAGCCGCTTCATACCAAAAGACGTTAAAAGATGGTACTTGTTGTTACCCTGCCTGGCGCTCGGCATTAAGGGGCTAAAACAAGGACTGGTCGGCTCGGAGTCAGTATACTGTGTCTGAGTGGGGTATTCATGTTAAACTGCGACATGGTATCTCAGTGAGCTAGCACTATAAATCGGCATGAGTCAGGACTGGTACAATCAGCCACACACACACGTGCATGCATGTCGCTATATAAGTGCAATAATCTTGAACGCGACGTTAAACCCGATTTCACCTCACCTCACCTCACCTCACCTCACCTCACCTAATGGATCACGGGTACCCCTGAGAAGTCAGGTGGTGCGATACAGTGGCACGTAATCAACTCAAGAGTCCATTCTACCCATTTACTCTTTTAATTTTTTTTAATCGAGTGATCTTGCTCATTGACGTTTTTGTTGGTTGTTTATTCATATCAGTTGAACAATACACGCACCTGTTGTTATATATTAAATGCATACAACGAATTCAAAATTTAAAATAATATTTGTTATCATGCAAACATATATTTCTCATTTACTCGCTTCTTACAGAATTCTGGGAACCTATTCTATCCCCAATTTGGTTATTATGATGAAAAACACCATGTTTGTATCAAAATCGAAATATCAAGGGTAGTGATATGATCTTTGATTCCTGTATTAAATCCTTGAATATATGTCAATCTTGTAAGGACGTCTCTTTTGTAATGCAAAAATATTAATAATCTTTGTTTAAGAATAAAGTACGGATGGATCTGTTAAATTAAACATATTCAATCTGACAGCCCTGTGCTGACATTTCCTTGACATGTGTCTCCTGTATGACGTAAACACTGTTGTAAAATTACTTGTAAAATACATTTCATCACCTTTATTATATTTTTTATTATATCCGTTCTGTCACGAGAATGAATAGGTACATATTTTATTTACAATTTATAACCCTTCTCAACATTGCGTTAACCAAATTTTAATAGCGTTGTTCACTTCATCGCATCGTAAATATTTTACGATGTCCATGAGACGCTTTTTATGTAATACGGTTATCTTACCATTGAGAATCGTATTTGCACAAGAACTCGTAAAGATTCGTGCATTTAATAAATCCTAAATGGTTTATGTATGTATGGAAACACAGACAAAATGTGTTTTGAGCTATTCTGTGACTAGCTATATTACCAAACCTATGTTTAAACATATTTCGTATATACAATCTAACTTTTAAGATTTAGATATTCAAAGGTTCATACCAGACGTAGTAATATCCCCTATATCAATTCACACAGAATGCACAATAAACTACATCATATTACCCCTTGGGGATTCCGAGGTAGGTCCCAAGTAACCATGTTTGTCGTAAGAGGCGATAAAATGGATCGAGACGTAAGAACTGCGATCTGGTTGATGACGTGTCATCGTGATATTATAATATCAACTGCTTGATTTTCTGTTCCATATTCGGTTGTTACGGACATATAGCTACTATATATTTGCTAAACAACGACAAAAAGCATCATGTCATGATGGTTCCTTAAACAAACAAAAAGCGCCAATTCCATCTGTTGGGGGAGGAGCGGGGGTGGGGGTGGGGGTGGGGGGGTTAGGGGTGGGGTGCAGGTGGCCCAGTCGTCTAAGGCGCCGCGATTCGCTGTGGAGAGTTGCGTCCCTTGGGCACACCAGAAACCTATGATTGTGGGTTCGAATCACGGTTCGCCCCGATTATGTTTCTAGGTTTGTCAGCACCATACCCGTACTCGTGGGTTTCACCAGGTTTTCGCGAAAAGGGTAAGCATGTCCTGCCCTACTGGTAGTAGCCGACCACTCTCACAATTTGCGTAAAAAGTCCGTGTTTGTTGACTGACACCGCACAGCAGTACACATGTACTCCTGCCATGCAACGGCTGCCTGTAAACAAACCAAACAAGAAAGTCTTAGACCAGAAAGTAAATAACACGATAGCATTTGTTGATTTTGCTGAAACTACAACCGATATGATTATACAATTGTATAAAACGATTCATATGCTGATGTAATAGCTACACTGTACAATACAAAGCCTCTCAATATTTAAAGTCATGTGTAAGATATTTTCCATATTATATAATTGTCACGGGCTCAGTATTGTAATAATACAAAGCTATCTGGTAATAATGCATTTTGCGAAGTAAAAATAAAACATCTTCTTTATCATCACACTATAAGTACTTCATAAAGTATATGATGAAAATCCTCGGGTACCGTGCTTCTTGTGGGTAGCCAAGTAGTTGAAGCGTTGGCTCGTCACGATGAAGACCAGGGTTCTATTCCCCACATGGGTACAATGTGTGAAGCCCATTTTCCGATGTCCCCTGTCGTGATATTGCTGGAATGTTGCTAAAGGCGGTGTAAAACCATACTCACTCACTCTAAATGCAAGAGACCGCCTCCATGGTCTTGTGGTAGAGCGTCCGCCCGGAGAGCGGAAGGTCTGGGGTTCGATCCCCGGACGCGTCATACAAAAAGACGTTAAAAGATTGTACTTGTTGTTACCCTGTCTGGCGCTCGGCATTAAGGGGCTCAAACAAGGACTGGTCGGCTCGGAGTATTCATGTTAAACTGCGGCATGGTATCTCAGTGAGCTAGCACTATAAATCGGCATCAGTCCGGACTAGTACAAGCAGCCACACACACACATACACGTGCATGCACGTCGCTATATAAGTGCAATAATCTTGGAGGCGACGTTAAACCCAATTTCACCTCACCAACCTAAATGCAAGAAAGTCCACATGTAGTATATAATATCCACAATCAGAAAGAGACTTAATAGATTTTGTAGGTTCTACTTTTTAACGTATCACGTCATTCTTGCGCTTCACGATTATTCACTCTGTTGACATTATATTATAAATGCGCATGATTATAAGATCAGGTTGTGCCTCGACGACGTTGATGTATCGCCATAAGGTCAAGAACAAACTTATACTTTATTCAAGATTACGCTTGAATGGAAAGAAGGAGGCAACTGTCTTAAGAACACTTCACACATGTTTGTCTACATTTTCTTGACAGATGTGCATTTTGTTGGTTCAATAGGTTAGCTGTTTTTTTTGCACATTTTTCTCTCATTATTTGCATAAACCTCCGTCTAATAATTTGCATTGATTTCCACTTTTGCTCGTATGTTGAATGATGTTTGGTGAAAAAAGCTTTTTAACACATCTAGCAATTTACGTTTGAAATGCACCTTTTTGTATTGTGTATGTGTACACGTCAAACTTCGAACTGAAAAAAATGTGCAAAAAGTTTAAATTACAGTAATGACAGAAGTGGTCGTTGGAATATAAAATTTAGTACCGGTATCAGGTCAAAGGTGATGTTGTCGTATTTCGCGAACACCCGAAGTCATCACTGCCACTTTAATGTCATTCACGACAGTCGCTTCCTTGCTGTTGCCTTTGTTTCATTGAGGCAAAGATGGAATAGTGAGTGAGTTGGGTTTAACGCCGCTTTTAACAGTATTCCAGTTATATGTTGAAGAAAAGCACCGAAAGCTCATCACTGATTTTGAGTGATCCACTCATTCAATTTAACAGGTTTTTTTGCATTTTAGGCCCGATGTAATCTGGATAATCGACACTGGTTATTCTCGTTTTATATTTACTATGGGTCTTTGGCTCCGCTACGAAAAGATATGTCTGTCTGTCTGCCCTCTGTCCTTTGCCCGATGTATGTCTGGACTCTTTTCTTTGTCCTCTGTATGTCTGCCCTCTGTCCTTTGCCCGATGTATGTCTGGCCTCATTCCTTTGTCCTCTGTATGTCTGTCCTCTGTCCTTTGTACTCTGTATGTCTGCCCTCTGTCCTTTGCCCGATGTATGTCTGGACTCATTCCTTTGTCCTCTGTATGTCTGTCCTCTGTCCTTTGTCCTCTGTATGTATGACCTCTGTTTTTGTCCTCTGTCGTCATTCTGCCTTCTGTCTTGTGTCCCCGTCCTCTCTCTGTACATGTCTGTCCTCTGTCCTCTGTCTTTGGTCCTCTGTCTGATTTTTGTGTTTACCCCCTGACCTCTGTGTACCAAGCCTCTGTCTTTGGTATCATTTGTATATGTATCTTTGGAATGTCCTCTGGCCTTGAAGAAAGGAGTGTAAACTGTATCGTGGCACACATTATCACGAGATAAGGTTATCAATGAACTTAACCAGTCACAACCGAGCAAATGCTAAGCGAACACCTTTTGCTTTGTCAAAACGATAACATTGAAATCGATGGAAGCAAACATTTTCCAAAATCTTAGCCTGCCAGTAACCAAGAGATCTGACCGTCAGATGTGGACACAGATACCAGAGATGACCAGGACACAAGCGACCTCGCCCCCATGTTCCGCATGTGTGTTGCTTTATCTGTTTCTCAGGTCACCCGTCTCAGAGCGCCTGGCGGTTGCCCCTAGTCTCGTGTGATTGGAGAACTAGCAACTGTGTTGTCGTAAGACCCACTGTTGACACTGCTAGTGAGAGTGTAGACTTGGCAGTAAGGTGTAACCTTCGAAATGGGATTAAAGGCAATTAAGAAAAAGCTGAGGCTTGATAATTTACTTGCCAGACAAATTTTTGCGGAATTTTGGGGAACATTTATACTTGTGGTAAGTAGGATCTAATATTTTCTTTTTTGAACATTGTCTTTATTTGCGTGAGTATAACCTTCGTAGATTAAATCTGTATTTAGTAATAATCATAATATTTCAGTAAAATAAATGTATCGTCATGACAACTTCGTTAAATTTGAATAAAACCGTTTGACATTGGAAATGAGGTTTTATATAATTCTTTTAGAATATGTGTTAACCATACTTCTAGCTATATTTATTATTTACCTATTTACTTTATTTTATTTACACCAATCACAGCGATTGTACATGTACAGCATCACCGGACAGTGATACTCTGTATATTTAGTATTGTGATCAGCTACTCTACGGTCCAAGCTACTCTCCGTGTATCGGTGGTAAATTGTTCAGATATAAATTTATGATATTTATAAACATTTTGTGACTACAGTAATAATCACATAGAAACACTACATTGTATAAATCTCTCAAGACAACGTGGATATATAACAGCGAGAATCCGTGTACAATATAGATGTGTAAATATTCATGGTCAAGGGTTAAATGGAAGTTTAATGCTAGAGGTACAAAAGATGTCTGTTGTATGTTTTACTGGCGTAAATTTAGCTATGCAATACGACTGACATGACAGGATTAACATGTGACTTGGGAGCATGACATCACATGCCCTGAAGACATTACTGACATCTCGCCCTGCACGCACTGACGCTGTGCTGGCCTGTCTGGTATATGTAGGTCGACAACGAGAGAAATGTGCGTCACGTGTATCTATATCCTGATGATGATGCTGATGATGTTGACGGTGATAGTGGTGGTGGTGGTGGTGATGATGATGATGCTGATGATGTTGACGGTGATATTGGTGGTGGTGGTGGTGGTGGTGGTGATGATGATGGTAGTGCTGAGAGTGATGACGCAGAGAGTGTGGCTATCGCTTCAGATCATTATTTGTAGTAGTAGGAGGAGGAGCAGCAGCAGCAGTAGTAGTAGTAATAATAGTTGTTGTTGTAGTTGTAGTAGTAGTAGTAGTAGTAGTAGTAGTAGTAGTAGTAGTGGTGAGTGTTACCTTCGTAATAATAAAGATTATAATGATACAGAGTAAAATGATGATGATAAAAGTGTACGCATGTGTGTTTTATCGACAGTAACTACTACTACTACTACTACTACTACTACTACTACTACTACTACTACTACTAAGTACAAGTCAAAGGTGGCAAATCACGCCTTGCATTAATTCTGGAAACCTGTTCGCACAGTAGCTCTTCTCCCTGTCTCCCTGTGACAAGTTTCGGTCGATGACCTTAAAAATTTGCCCCCATAGTGTCCTTTAAGGGATGTGTTAAGGACAAGGAGTACGATACTGGTTGATGAAAACGGTTCTCCTGCGCTACGTGTTGCGTAAATATCATGTAGTTTTGTTCACTTGGGTTTAATGTGTGATCAGATATACCTGTAAATTATAAGTGGGACTGAATATATATATATATATATATATATATATATATATATATATATATATATATATATATGTGTGTGACCTTTTGTATCATGTGGAGTCTCTACTCATTGGGATAAGAAAATGATGACCTTGTCAGCTGCATATTTTCGTCATCGTGCGTCCTATCAGTATGTCAGAGCGATACATACACGCTGGCAGATTGTGATGGGTTCAACAGAAGTGGATCGGTATGTGGTTAAGCTGGGTTGTTGTGGAGAGTAGAGGGTGGACCGAACGTCTGTAGAAAAGATGAGGGTAGATACATCAGAGAGTGGATCTACCGACTGTAGACAAGTTCAGGGAGGACACATCAGAGGGTGGACCTAACGACTGTAGACAAGTTCAGGGTGGATACATCAGAGAGCGGACCTAACGACTGTAGACAAGTTGAGGGTGGACACATCAGAGGATAGACCTAACGACTGTAGACAAGTTGAGGGTGGACACATCAGAGAGTGGACCTAACGACTGTAGACAAGTTGAGGTCGATACATCAGAGAGTGGACCTAACGACTGTAGACAAGTTGAGGGTGGATACATCAGAGAGCGGACCTAACGACTGTAGACAGGTTGAGGTGGACACATCAGAGAGTGGACCTAACGACTGTAGAAAGGTTGAGGGTGGATACATCAGAGAGCGGACCTAACGACTGTAGACAAGTTGAGGTGGACACATCAGAGAGCGGACCTAACGACTGTAGACAAGTTGAGGGTGGACACATCAGAGGGTAGACCTAACGACTGTAGACAAGTTGAGGGTGCATACATTAGAGAGTGAACCTAACGACTGTAGACAAGTTGAGGGTGGACACATCAGAGAGCGGACCTAACGACTGTAGACAAGTTGAGGGTGGATACATCAGAGAGTGGACCTAACGACTGTAGACAAGTTGGGGGTGGATACACCAGAGAGTGGACCTAACGACTGTAGACAAGTTGAGGGTGGACACATCAGAGAGTGGACCTAACGACTGTAGACAAGTTGAGGTGGACACATCAGAGGGTGGACCTAACGACTGTAGAAAGGTTGAGGGTGGATACATCAGAGAGCGGACCTAACGACTGTGTGAGTGTTGATAAATAGGAAGATTGATCAAAGGTTGGACGAGATTAGGGAGGACCATGAGATAGTAAACGAGTTGAGATCGGATCAGAAGATAATGGACGAGTTGAGGACGGATAAGAAAATACAAACATTCCAGAATGTTGGAGTAATATATCACTATGTCATCAACGTTTTATCATTAAAACTCGTTGTTTGCAGTGTCCTGACATGGTACAAACCCACCCTCCGCCACAACACTCTTATTCCATGTTTACGATGTGTGTTAACTGTTCGTGTGAGTCGGATGATGCCATAATATTCTTGACCTACATTAAGCGCCGTGGCATTTAGTCACTTTACGTGTGTTGATCTCATTCAACATAAAACAAAAGTTGTAATGTTATAATGAAATTATAACATTACAACTTTTGTTTTATGTTGAATGAGATCAACATATCAAACGTGAAAATACAGGTTCACTTAGTGATCTTTTCGTAATAGATATTGTCAACTCATGTCGCTGTATGTTTGGATTCTTTGTCATGTGCTCCTTCATTTGAGGTCGAGGGTATTGACTGGCCCAGCAGTCAAGTCGCTATGCAGCGTTGCGTCCCTTTCCAGTCCCGTGATACTATTTCGACCCGATTATGACCCTTGGTATGTTATCATCACAGTGTGGTCCACGATATGTATCAATTTGGCATTTCCTACCACACGAAGCTCAAACAGAGATATTACCGAACTACTGACAGTGTTTATAGCGGCGTAAAACACAACCCACTCACTCCATCTTTATAAAGTGTCCTAACTGAGAAGTGATTTATTGCAGATTGAAATCGTGAAAGAACGAGCATTGTTTCTATGGATACAAGACTGAACAATCGGAATAACCGTCAAACTATTATGAATGAATGCCTCTTTGAATATTGTTCTAGCTGCGTGAGCCGTTTAATATGGATTGAATATTGCCGTCACACACCAAAGTGGATCAATGAAATGTCTGAAATAGACGCTGAACGTAGATCTAGATCAATCGATTTCAGGAAACCTTACCACTGAAGGCCCTGAAACCTTCCGGTTACCTTCCCCAACAATTGTCAAAAGTTGGGATTGCATATTTTATTCAATCTGTTTGTTTGTGTGTAGTTTAATGCCGCACTCAGGTATATTCCAGATATATGACCGCGGTCTGTAAATAATCGAGTCTGGACCAAACAATCCAGTAATTGACATCATGAACATCGAGCCACGCAACTGGGATACTGTGACATGCATCAACCAAGTCAACGAGCCTGACTTAGCCTATCCCGTTAGTCGCCTCTAACGACAAGTATAGTCGCCTTGTACGGCAAGCGTGGGTTGCTGAAGACCTATTCTAACCCAAATCTTCACGGGTCGCATTTTGTTCAAATACGCGTGAACACATAAAACAAAAATTGAGTGAGTAGGTGAGTGAGTGAGTTAGATTTAACGTCAGTTACTCGTCCGTAGTCCAGTTGTATTGTGAGTGCAGGTCTCAGACGTTTACCACTTTGGTGAAACCCACGAGCAAGGATATGGGGCTGACAACCCAAGAAGCATAATCGGGGCCAGAACCGGGATTCGAACCCACGAAAATGTCTAAAAAGTACTAAAACAAAAATGATTGCTGAAGGCATCCGGAAGAATTTCTGACTTTTCATGTTGTGCATGTGGAACTCATTAATGCTTAAACTAATCAAATATTGACGCGCACGCACGTATGAGTTAATGTTGCAATACCCACAGTTGTAAATCACATTGTAGTGAATGTCCAAACGCTTCCCAAGGGCAAGATGAATGCAGTTCACACGTTCCTAACAATCAACAGACCGCCTCCGTGGTCTAGTGGTAGAGCGTCCGCCCGGAGAGCGGAAGGTCCGGGGTTTGATCCCCGGTCGCATCATACCAAAAGACGTTAAAAGATGGTACTTGTTGTTACCCTGTCTCGCGCTCGGCATTAAAGGGCTAAAACAAGGACTGGTCGGCTCGGAGTCAGTATACTGTGTCTGAGTGGGGTATTCATGTTAAACTGCGACATGGTATCTCAGTGTGCTAGCACTATAAATCGGCATCAGTCCGGACTAGTACAAGCACACACAAGCCACACACACACGTGAATGCACGTCGCCATATAAGTGCAATAATCTTGGACGCGACGTTAAACCCAATTTCACCTCACCTCACCTAACAATCAACACATGGTACTATGATCATAAATTAAATCATGAACGCTGTGTCAGGAAAATACTAGTATATTGTTTCCTTGATCGGGTCGCTTTCGTCTTTGTTTGATTGTATTGACATGCTTTAGGCAACGCAATATATTGTACACACTGTAAGGCAGGATCGAGGTTATCTGGACAGTCGATATCCTTCCAATATAAACGGAATTATTGAGATTATGCTCACTTGTCAAAAGGCTCTATGTACTGACACATTAGGGGGCGG